ACGCAAATAAATGGAAGCATATACTGTGATCATGGATTGGAAGAATTAACATCGTCAAAACATCCATACTACCCAATGTGATTTATAGATTCAATGCAATCCCTATTAAAATACCAATGACATATTTCACAGACATAGAACAAACATTTCAAAAATTTATATGGAACCATAAATGATCCTGAATAGCCACAGCAATTTTGAGAAAGAAGAACAAAGTATGAGGGATCACAACACCTGACATCAAACTATATTACAAGGCCACTGTTATCAAAACAGCCTGGTACAGGTATAAGAACAGACACATAGATCAATGGAGCAGAATAGAGAGCCCAGCAATAAACCCATGTCTCTATGCTCCATTAATATTTGACAAAGGGGGCAGAAGCATAAAATGGAGTAAAAATAGCCTCTTCAACAAATGGTGTTGGGAGAGCTAGACAGTTACATGCAAAAAATTGAAATTTGACCACCAACTTACACCATGCAGAGAAATAAAGATGGACAAAGGACTCAAATATAAGTCGTGACACCATAAAATTCCTCAAAGAGAACATAGGTAGGGAACTCTCAGATATTCCATGCAGCAATATTTTCATTGATATGTCCCCTAGAGCAAGGGACATAAAGGAAAGAATAAACATATGGGACTTCATCAAAATAAGAAGCTTCTGCACGGCAAAAGAAAACATCAGCAAAATGAAAAGGGAGCCAACCGTATGGGAAAATATATTTGCCAATGATACCTCGGACAAGGGTTTGATCTCTAAAATATATAAAGAACTCACATGACTCCACTCCAGGAAGACAAACAATCCAACTAAAAAATGGGCAAAGGACGTGAACAGACACTTCTCCAAGGAGGACATAAACAGGGCCCAGAGACATATGAAAGGATGCTCATCATCACTAGCCATCAGAGAAATGCAAATTAAAACCACAATGAGATACCACTTCACACTTGTCAGAATGGCCATCATAAACAAATCAACAAACAAGAAGTGCTGGCGAGGTTGTGGAGAAAAGGGAACCCTAGTACACTGATGGTGGGAATGCAGACTGGTGCAGCCACTGTGGAAAGCAGTGTGGAATTTCCTCACAAAGCTCAAAATGGAACTGCCTTTTGCCCCAGTGATTCCACTCCTGGGATTATACCCCAAGAATCTCAAAACACCCATTCAAAAGAACCTATGCACCCCAATGTTCATAGAAGCACAATTTACAATAGCCGAGTGCTGGAAGCAACCTAAGTGTCCATCAATAAATGAGTGGATCCAAAAACTGTGGTACATTTACACAATGGAATACTATGCAACAGAAAGACAGAGCGAGCTACTACCCTTCGCAACAGCATGGATGGAACTGGAGAGCATTATGCTAAGCAAAATAAGCCAGGGGGTGAAAGAGAAATGCCATATGATCTCACCTATAAGTGGAACCTAATCAACAAAACAAACAAGGAAGAAAAATATAACCAGCAACATTGAAAGAAAAAACATACCAACAGTAACGAAAGGGAAGCAGGAAGAGGTGTAATGGGGAAAAGAAGGGGAAGGGTCAAATCAAGGAACATGTATAAAAGACCCATGGACAAAGCCAAAGTGGGGAAGGATTGAAGGTGGGAGGTGGGGGTGGGTGGGGCAGGGGAAAGTGGTGGCGGGAAAATGGATGCAAATGTATTTGAACAATAAAAAACAATTCCTTCTTCAATGCTATAGTGATGCAGTTCACCCAAAACCAATTTTGGCCATTTTCATTTTTCCAAAGTTGTTTTCAGTGGGACAAATCATTTTCAGGTTAATTTTTACAGTGATGGTTTGATCCATGTTTCAGTTTTCTTTTCTGTGTCATATTTTAGCAATAGTAACTTGGTCTCAGATATCTCCTTGGCCTCAGGCTGCTCCCTGAACAGCTCAGGCACATTTTTTAAATTGATTCCAGAGAGAGAGAGGGAGACGGGGGTGGGTGGGGGGGGGGAGGGAGGGAGGGAGAGAGAGAGAGAGAGAGAGAGAGAGAGAGAGAGAAACATTGGTTCGTTGCCTCTCATGTGTGCCCCATCTGGGGACCGAACCCACAACCTAGGTATGTGCCCTGACTGTGAATCAAACCCGCGATCTTTTGGTGCATTGGGAGATGTTACAACCAACTGAGCCACACTGGCTGGGCTCAGGCACATTCTTGCTTCAGGAACAATACAGATTGTTCCCTCTCCTAGAAATGCTCTTCTATCTGTGTAGCTCATCTCTCACTTTTTTTTCACATTTTTCCAAAAAAAAAAAAAATCACTTTTCATCAAGGCCTAAACTGACTCCTAGTTTAAATACAAGCTTCTCCCACCCTGCACTTCTTATTCCCCTTACTGGCTTTATTTTTAATGTAATGCAAATAATATGATTTGTTGTCTTATTTATCATCTGTCTCTCTCTGCTAGAATATAAGCTCCATGAGAGCAGGAAGTTTTTAATCCTTTTTTTCCCCTGCTGTATCCTCACTGCCTATAAAAGTGCCTGACTCTAGTAGGCACTCAATAAATATTTGCTGAATGAATATCTTTCCTGTCATTCTGAGCTAGTTTTCATTGTGGCTAGTTTTCACCAAGTCTAATATTTCAGGATCAAAATTTGCAGGTTCACATTTTGCTGAGAACATAGGATCCCGCCATTGGTTCTCCCTTAACATATTTTAAAATTCACAGTTTTAGCTGTTGTGAGTTTATTCTGTGGTGTGTATGCCTATCAGTAGTAGTTGTTGTGAAGCTGATAAGATAGTTTGTTTTCATTGCCTTGGTAATCCATGAGAAAAACTGTAAGCAATCCCCTTTAGACAGTCTAGAATTGTCTGAGATGGACTTCGCTAAGCTGGGTTTTTAGGAAGATTCTGGTCAACTTGGTATAGTGTGTAAAATCTAAACTTCTCCTAACGATGGCCCATGGGGCCTTAGGGTTATGGCATATGACCACCTCTATAAACTCATCTCAAGCCACTCATCCTGGAAGATTCCAGTAATTCCAGTAAGCACATTTCAGCCACACTGGCATTCTGGTGGAACTTACCTCTTTTCTGTGCTTGTGTACTCTGTCTTACCCACCGCCTTAAGGTAAACTCCCTGAGAACAGAAAATATCTTAGTTCAGGTCCCTCCAGAAGCTGACCCTGAGACAAGGCTCGAAGTCAAGTAGTTTCCTTGAGATGTGAACCCAGGAAGCACCTGTCAGACAGTGGGGAAGTGAGACAATGAAGAGCATTAAGTGACTTAGCATGGTGGGCAATTGGAACATGTTCCCACTGGGGGCGAGTGGAGAACACCCACCGTGGAGATGTCCCATATAGGGAGTAAGGGGACAGGGGTACTCACCTACTAACTCTCATCAGTCATTGATTCAAGGTGGCTGCCAGGGGGTGTTCATTTCCTAGCCTTTCCAGCCCATCAGGCCCACAGGCAGCCTGAGAGGATGCCCTCCAGGGAAGTGATGCAGACTCTGGCAGTTGGCAGTTGGCCAGTGGCACACTGGAGCAGTAAGGCTGCTGGGACATGGACAGGGAACTGACAATGTCTGTTACAGGGACTGTCTTGTTCACTGGGCCTTTCACATAATAAATGCTCTGTGAGACTGAAGGATGAAGGTTGTTATCTGTTATGCTAGTGGGGCAAAGCTGGATCTAAAATATCAAGGTTCAAATATCCTTGTGGTCAAACAGTAGGGTGAAAGCATTACGTTTAAGTTCTCTGTCTACTCATACCAGCCACCATATCCACCCTGGGAAATTCCTGAGGACAGAGATCCTGGTATCTGTCAGTGCCTGGCACACTGATGGAGCTTGACACACAGGACGAACTCAACTACCACCGCTTCATCCCCATGTGGTCCTTAAAAAGTCAGTTGTTCACCAACATGGCTACTATGAAAAAGATGGAAAATGCTGAGTGATGATGAGGATGTAGCATTTATCATGGGGAAAGTGTAGTTCAGAAAAATGGCATGCTTTACTAAGGCTGATCATCTGTCTACCCCATGACTTGGCAATTCCATTCCTAGATAAATGCCCAAGAGGAATGGGTGCATATGTTCATCAAAAGTTGTATATAAGAATGTTCACAGAATTTTTTTTAGTCAGTCTTTTTATTATAGTACATGGGCTGGGTCTTATGGAATCAGGTAGACGAGGGCAACCATTGCCTTGATGAGAATCAGGTGCTCATCTTGATGTCATGAATAAGCCAAAGGTGCCGCCCCTCTGCATCATGGGTTTCCTGAGGCTGACCATCAGCTCTTGAGCATGCATTCCGATCCTGAGACAGGAAAAGGTGCCGGCCACCATGCCCATAGCACAGCCCATTACAAAGTCCATCTTTGTGCAGTTGAAGCAGCTTGGCTGGGACTGTCTATAGGGACCTATGGCCACCGGCATCTTGCTCACAGCCTCAGTCGCTCCAAGAATTATTCTTACTAGCCCCAGATACAAAAGTACCCAAATACCCACTGACACAAGAATGGATGGAGTGTGGTCTATTTACACAATGGGGAGAGAACACAGCAATGAAGATGGACAAACTACTGATCATGTAATAATGTGGATCTGTGTCACAAACATCCTGCTGTATGAAAGAAGTCAGATACAGAAATGTATCAATGCACTTAAATATTAAACTAGACAAAACTAATCTACATTGTTACAAACTTTCTGGAGACAGAAGCCACCTGAAAGAAGGCTGAAGTGCCAGACATGTGAGTGAAGAAGCCATCTTGGATGTCCAGCCTAGTCAAGCTTTCAAACGAACCCAGCCACCATTTGACCCCAAGAACCATTTAACTGAGCCCAGCCAAAGACGGGACCATGAAAGATAATACTAAATTGTCATTTTAAGTCACTAAGTTTTAGGATGTTTATCACACAACAGTAGATAACCAGAACACCCAGAAAAGGCGGCAGTGACCCTTTTAAGGCCTGACATCCCTGCTCCCAGATTTCCCTCACAACAAAATGAACACCAGCCAGTTAGACTTTCAGTCCCTTTAATAAGGTGCTCGGAGAAGAGGGCAGGATGGCAGGCAGGGGGTAAAGAAGGTGGTGCTTCTTGAGCCCCACTGGGCACCCAGTCAGTCCTCATCCTCTGGCAGCTGGATCTTGCTGGGGTCAAAACAGTTGGATTCCATGATGGGAAGGCCATTGGCCTCTCGGTATTTCACAAGCCTTTCTGCTTCCCGGCGGGCCCATTCATGCATCCTGGAGACAGCAGCATGGAGGGGAGACATGAGGAAGACTTACTGGACATCAATCCCTACCTTAGCTCCCCATTCCTCAATGGTATGGGACAGGATTCCTGGATTCAACCTCTATCCCTGCCTCTGCCCTCACCCATCCCATTCTCTTGGACACCCCATGCACCTGTAGTCAGGCAGATAAGCCACAAAGGTGCTGCCTAAGACCAAGACGATTGAGAAGCCAAAGAAGAAGACGACCCGCATGTTCCAGGTATCCACAGCTGGGTCCTTGTCATAGCCATGGGAGTCTGGATTCTATGGAACGAGAAGAAGAGGTCAATGAGGGCTTCCTACTACTCCACAAAGCCTTATGCTTGTGCTGCATGAGCTGGTCTCCAATTTAACCTGAGACCAATCTCCCCTCCCTCCCTAAATTCCTTTCTTTCTGTTAGGACTTGTCAAGCACCTTCCCACCACAGGGCCTTTGCTCTTGCTGTTCCCCTTCTGTCTGGAAACTTTCCCCCAAATCTTGTCATGACTGGATTTGCTTCCTCATTCAAAGTTCTGGCTTCATCATCACTTCTCTTAAGAGGCATTCCCTAATCACCTTGTCTATTAAACTGAACTATAGGAAATTGCCATTTTCACAGGTCTAAATGGTTGAATATTGGCCATTTCCTATGGTTCAACCCAATAAAATTATTTCTTATCTCCAAGACACTCTCAATCCACTTATCCTGCTTAATGTTCTTTCTAGTATTTATTAGTTTACTGAAGTAGCATCCCCCAGATTCTCTATACCACATTATCTTATATTATCAATTACTACTCTGTATTACCATTTTCAAATACTTTACATATTTATTTTCTGTGTTTCCCACTATCATATAAGCTCTCTAAGAGCGAGGGCTGTATCTGATTTCCACACTGCTGAACCCCCAGGGCCCTGAACTGTGCCTGGCATACAGCAGGCCCTCAATATATATTTTCAGAATGAATGAATGAATGAATGAATGAGAAAGCATCCTATATATCCAAGTCCCTCAACCAGAGGTTAATGTTGATGAAGTACTTCTTATGTGCCAGGTCTTTTCACATATACAAACTTCACAATATCCCAGTGAGGTGGCAAGTGACAATAATAATTAACACCTTCTCATGCTAAGCACTTAACCAAATGCCAGATGTTGTTCTGAGCATTTTGACTCATTTAATTACACAAGGCAGTGCAGTTTTACTTTTTAAAAGATGTCCTAATACTTTCTCCATTTTACAAAGAAACTGAGGCACCAAGGGGTTAAGTTAATTGCCCAAGGTCACACAGGCGAGTAACTGTCAGTGCCTGTATTCCAACCCAGGCATTCTGATTTCAGAGTCTCTGCTAAGTTCAAATACTGTTCTGCCACACATTCAGTTATGCGAACTTGGGCAAGCCACTTGATGTCTCTGTGCTTTAGTTTCCTCATTTGTAAAATGAGTACGCTAACAGTACTTAAGATGTAGAAGTTGTTTTGAGGATCAGATAACTTAATGTATGTAAAAACTGTTTAGAACATTGACACCAAGCAAGCGTCCTATCGGTGTTTAGTATTATTGTTATACTTCATTGCTTCTAAGTGTTTTGAGCGCTGCCCACTTCAGGTTTGGTACCTGTCTGCAAAATAAAGGCCAGTCTCACCTCTGGGTCTGAACCGAAGGTAACACGGGAAAAAGGAAGAAAATAAACTAGGCAAAATACCCACGTCTTTAAGGATTTCACCAGCTGCGCAATCCTCAGCCGCCTAAGAAAGTCCTCAACGGCGCCCCGTCCGCCGGCCCCCAATTGACCCTACCGACGTCCCGTTTCCCCTCTGCCTCACCTTCTCATACAAGTTTTCGTCCTCCGGATCTGGGTCCTCCTGCCAGTGCATAGTCGGTTCCGGTGTCCGCTTTCCCACCACAGCGGACGGGGCAATCACAGCCCTGGCGGAGCTGGATTCCCAGCGAACCCGGGCAGCTAGGCGCCCTCGCGTCGCCGCTGCTGCCAAAAGGCGGCGAGAGCACAAACCTAACAGCCGGGCCGCCATGACAGATTGTTCTGCAGGCTCTCAGGGGCGGGGACGGAAATGCGACTGTGCGCAGCTGCAGTTGGCCCAAACGGGATAATTGTCGCGCCGCTCCGGCCGTACTAAATAGGTCCCCGATCTGTCTAGATTTTGTTTTCAAGTGAGTTAAGGCACTGAGCAGCCCTCTTCCCTCCCTCTGTCACGACCGCATTGGAGCAACTATTTCCCGATCCTCTCGGTCAAGCTATGGGAGTTCCGCCTGAGCCGCTGCTCCTTTACTTGCTGAGAAGAAAGCAGTGACATTTCGGGGGAGGGAGGTTCAGCTCCCAGCGAATCACAACAAATTTCCCTTGCCCTGGGGGAAAGGGGCAGAGCTTCCGTTTGTCTTTCATCTTTGAAGGAAGCCAAGCTTAAAAAGCGGGCCTCGCCGGATTGGCTATTAGCTACTCCTTTCCTCGAGTGGGGGGCGCTCGCACGGGGCACGGGGCGTGGGGAGGTGGCAGCCGCTTGCCAATCAGAGCGGCCCAGGGCTGGCCGATGGCGGATGGCGACCAATAGACGCGGCCAGCCAGAGCGCGCTCCCTCAGTAGGTGGATGGTAGTCGAAGCGCCGGCTCCCTGCTCCTGGTCGCCATTTTGTGCTGGTGATTGCGGCCGGTGGGAAGTAGGCGGCAGTGCGTTTCCCGGGGAGGGCAGCGCGCTTGGCGCTTCTTCCCTCCCCCCCCTCCGCCTTTCTGCCTCCAGCCTAGAACTTGATTGTTGCGTGGACCGGCTCCGGCTGAGCTGGGAGAGTTGGCAGAGGTGGCGGAGGGTTGAGGTGATGTCAGGGAGCCCTCCCTTGACAGCCCGAGCCGAGAAGGTGAGCGTCGACGCTGGTCGTGGGGGCGGAGGTAAGGGGCCCGAGGCGGGGGGTGCGTAGACTAGGCAAGAAGGAGGACTGCGGGCCGCAGCCGAGGGATGAGTGCACGGTCTGATCCTGGGAGGGGTTGTCTTTTTAAAATATTTTACCTCTTTGAGAGCAGAGGCGCGTGCGCGATCGGGACCCAAGGATGGGTGCACGCGGGTTGGGGGAAGGGAGAGACGGATGGGAGTGGACTACTTGTCTGTGACACCGAACTTTATCCGTGGGCGGGGGGCGGGTGGCTGCGACTTTAATTTTTTTTAATTGTATCTACAGGGGAGGGGGGTGTGCTGTCTGCTTTGTGACTTTGGTACTTATCTGTCCGTGGGAAAGTGTTCTGTGGCTCGGGTCCTTGGGAGTAGAGGCGGGGAGAACCTCTCTATGACCCCGGTCTTTATCTTTGGAGTGTGTTTCTAACTCTGGCCACTATTCTGGGAGAGGTCCTTATCCCTTGGGAGTCTTCTTGCGACTGGCCCTAACCTGCTTACTGGGCAAGGAGGGAATGCAAGGAATGTGTGTATGACTTACTGCCCGTTCTTGAGGGGCAATCTGTCTGTGACTGTGACGTTCATCCATTGAAAGGGGGCCTAAGTGTGTGGTTATGGCCCGTATTTATTGTGGGTTCCTGTCTGTGATTTTGGCCCATAGTTGTTCAGGGCGCATGTCTGTGACTGACCCCTATCTGTTGTGGATGCCAGAGTCTCCTGAGGGCTTCGTATGGACTCTTATCCACTGGAGCCCCTCGTTGTGATTTTGACTCTTACCCACCTGGGAGCAGGTAACTCTGGTTCTCTGTGGCTTGAGGAGGAAGAGAAAATCGGTGTGTGTATTCACGGAGGGAAGGTGTGGTGGCAACCCAGTGTTAGACAGGTGCTGTTACCCCTGGCTTTGCCTAATTCCTGTTCAAAGGGCGCGGCCTGAAGATTCTGGGATACTACGTGGTGACCCCTGGTGGGGTCACATGGCTCTCAGGACTTCCTTAGATCTCACAGTAGCCCTGAAGGGTTGGGTAAAATGACTGCCCTTCTAATCCAGTAGAAGTGGTTCAGAACAGCCTCTGAATAACTTGGGCCTAGAGCCCTGGGGAGAGAGCTGCCTTGGGACCTAGCTGCGCATAAGAGACAGGACTCAGGACTGAGCCAGTTGCCCTGTGAGGGCCGAAGCTGTGTTGGCCAGAAGCCCAGGGAGGCAGCAGCTGTCTCATTGCCAAGTTAGCCCCTTCACGCCCTAAGCTTTTCATGGTCTCCTGCTGTCTTGTAGGGGGACAGCCAGCATCTTGGGAGGATGAAGTGGCACCAGGGAGTCCATGGAAGGAACCTGGTGGGTGCCTGGGAGTCCTGTTGTGAAGTCTTTCTTGATTTCTAACAAGCCTTAGCACCAAGAACTGCCCTAGGCAGGTAGCTCCAGGCTTGATCTCTAATGTGCCTGATCTCTAACAAGTTATTCAGCACCAAGAGCTCTGCTAGGCAGATAGCTCCAGGTTTGACAGTGTCTACTAGTTTCAGGTGGCAAAGCCCTGATCACCGAGTGAGTGGCACTGCCAGGTCTCTCTGCTGAAAGAAAGCCTTGCTCATTCTAGGGCAGTGAGCTCTAACTTCACACTTCTGAGGAAAGGAAAGGAGCAGACCGAGTAGAGGCTGCCTTCCTGCTCTGGTCCACAGGAGCACTAGGAGTTAAGAAAAAAATGTCCCTGGGTTAAGAGATAGCAGGCAGCCTTGACAATAAGAGTTTCTCAAGGAGGCCCTCTCTGCCCCAACTGCCTTGACCTCTTCCTCCCTCTCTCCCCAGAATCCCTGCAGGAGGCATCACCCAGGCTGGCAGATCATGGTGGCAGCAGCGGGGGTGGCTGGGAAGTAAAACGGAGCCAACGGCTGAGGAGGGGCCCCAGCAGCCCCCGAAGGCCCTATCAGGACATGGAGTATGAAAGACGGTGAGTTACCTGCTTCCACTTGACCAAACAGCCTAGGATTGTCGGCCCTGTGAGAATTGATCCAGGAAGGTGCTAGGAGGGGGCTTCCGGGCAGAAGAAACAGTGTAGCAGATGATTGGTTTCTTTCCAGCAGACATTTACTTGGTACCTGTTGTGAACCAGGACTTATGTGCTAGGCTCTGGGAGTGCCGTGGTGAATGAGACATAAGATTGCAGCCCTCTTTTTACTCAGGGTCTCACAAGGGAGACCACACAGTTTACTGGTGATTCCAGAACAGTTGGATGGGTGCCATGGCTGGTTGTAAGGGTAGGACAGGATCAAACAAAAGGGAGGAGTGGAGGCTGATGCCCAGGTTTCCAGTTTGAGTGACCAATATAGGTATATGGTACCATTCGCCAAGGTCTGGACAGCCACTGGGGGAGGAGAGGCAGAGATATGTAGTGGGTTGTAAATGCCTGTGGGTTCTCAGGAGAGAGATGTGAGCTGTGGCTTTGGGTTTAAGGGATGGATGGGAGTGTGGGAGTGGTGCTTTCAGAGACAGGAATTTGCCAGGACAAGTATGGGGCAAGCCAGGTCAGATAGTGGCAGATTTCGGGGTCAGGGTGGGCTGAGGTTGGCGTGATACTTGTCTTGGAATGGGAACCTCTCCTACAGTTATTTTTAAACTCTGGTAGAACAAGAAACAATTGGGACACTTGATAAAGAGATCCTAGGCCATTCCCTCACTGTCCTGGTGTATCACTCCAGTTGATTCTAGTGCAGGTGATCTATTCCCTGCATTTTAGGATTACATAGGCAAGCAGACCTAATTCTCCCAGAAAGCCATTATTAAGAGTCAATATACTTACAAAATAATTTTTAATGTCCTACCAAGGGTTTCTTCTACCACCAGGCCCTTTTAAAAATGTAGAATTATAATATTTTGTTTTCTGAAAACTGAGCCCGTGTTTGACAGTCATCCATCATCCAGTGTTATTCAGTCTTGACCTTCTTTAAAAATGTTTTTTGAAAGGCATTCGATTTTGGATGGGATTCACGGAAAGTGCTTTGTGGCAGTTTCTGTGTTAGAGTGGGTGACTTTATTATCAAATAAGGACCTCAAATGCAGATATTTGAGTTAATCATACTTTTCCAGTTCACAGTAGGTTTCTATCATAGGTCAGTACAAAGGCCTTCTCTTGCTATATTTATTTTTTCCCTTTTATTTCCCATTTCCATAGCTGTAAACAGCTTCTCTGTCGTGTTTGAAATGTATTCTTCTCAAATATGTAGTGTTGTTTTGAGTGTCTGTAAGATTTTATTTATTTCTAGAGAGAGGAGAGGGAGGGAAAAAGAGAAGGGGAGAAACATCAATGTTCTAGAGAAACATTGATTGCCTGCCTCTTGCATGCCCCCAGCTCCCAGCCGGGCACCTGGCTCGCGGCTGCAACCATAACTGCAGCCTGCACCCTGACCAGGACCAGCAGCCTTTTGGTTTACTCCACAGCACCCACAAGTCAGGGCAGCCCTGCATTTTTAAAGATTTGTGTGTATTGCCATGCAGATATTAGTGTTTTGCTTCTAATTGGTCCCAGAAACAACACGCAGGGGTGTCTAACCTTTTGGCTTCTCTGCGCCACACTGGAAGAGGAATAGTTGTCTTGGGCCACACATTAAATACATTGGAACATGTAATCACTTAAAAAATCTCATAATGTTTTAAGTAAATTTACAATTTTGTGTTGGACTGCGTTCAGTCATCCTAGGCTGCATGCGGCCTGTGGGCCGCAGGTTGGACACCCCTGCTAGAGTATGCCAGCTGCCTTTTGCTTAACAATTCCCCCAAGGATGAATACCTGTTCTTAATTTTGGTGTGCTAAAATTTATCACTTTTTTGTCTTATAATCTGTGTTTTCAGAATCTTCTCTGTTCCCACCTTTGATCATAATGATTGTTTTCACTGTGTAGTTTTACCTTTTTCATTCAGGAATGTAAATCCATCTAGAGTCCACTTTTGAATATAGTATGAGGTAGGTTCTGGTTTTATTTTCTTCCACATAGTGGGCAGTTTTCCCAGTACCATCTCCTACATAGTCCATTCTTCCTTATTTGTGGTACCACATTTCAAGTTCCCTCATGTACATGGATCTGTCTTGAGAGATCTAATTTGTTTAATTGATCTACTTGTTCTTTCCTGCACCAGAACCTTACTGTTTTTATTATTATGGCTTTATAGAATGTCTTAATAGCTCCCACTTCGCTCTTATTTTTCAAAGTTGATTTAGCCATCTGTGGAGCTTTATATAAAAAGTTTACCAAGTCCCTCAAAAACATTCAGGAATTTTTATTGAAATTGCATTGAATTTATATATTAATTTGGGGAGCGTTGTCATCTTTTGTCACCTTTCCCTTCTCTCCCCCTCTTCCTCCTTCCACTACACTCTCCCCCCTCCCCCTCATATTTGTCCCCTGACAATCATTTG